ACACACACACACACAGGTATTTCCATGAACACACTAATTAAGGTGATTGTGGTGAACTGTGGTAACTGCTAATGAACGCTGTTTTAATTTGCTTCGTAAAAGAGTGAAACACAAACTTATAATCGTCAAATACAATTACCGACAAAGTTTTATCCGAATGAAAAACGAGTGCAAGAGGAGAGCTAAGATCCCGGACAGAGAACGTGAAAAAGTATAAATAACCAATAAAGGACTTCTAAACCTCCTCCACGAAAGTGGATGAACAGTACTACATGAAGTCTGGAGTAGAAATTTACATGAAAGGGAGAGCACGAAGATTGAAAATGTAACTTTACTCTTATAATCAACACACATGTATCTCATCGGCGAGTACTTCCCGTAACACTACCCCACGCGACTTGTGAACAGCGAGGCCAATATTGGGAAAGGCCGCGGTGCAAGCGAGCGTGCGAGAATGGACGTGTACGTCCCTGGCCCCGCCCCCACCCGCCACGCGAGGTCGCACACGTTCTCTCGAGCAAGTCGTGGCGAGCGGCGGCGAACGCGCGCGTGGGGGCGTAAAGCGCGCGACACAAACTGTTAATAGCTCGCACCGGTGCGGGGCGGGGCGGGGCGGGGCGGGGCGGAGCGACGGGCGCAAGGCTGGGCCGCTGCCAGGGGCTGTCGCGAGGCACGCGGCGCCCCACGCTGGCAGATGCTACAGGCCGAGCACGGGGTTTTCTTTGACAAACAGCCCAAACTTATAGACAAATGGAACAGGGAGTAGGGAAGGGAACAGGGAGTTCAATTGTAGCACCTGATGATGGAGATGGAACAGTCTCCGACACGATGTGATAAATTTCTCTATTTTATGAATACATACAACAAATGTTTCATTTGAATAAAATTATGAAATAAATGACAGGACAGATTTTTGATATAATTTAATTATGGTTATTCTGAATTTAAAAAACTGAAAAATATAAATTATCATGATTATATTAAAATGTTTTTTGAAATGTTTAATAATGTTTTACAATAGTTTCTTTCTTATACTGTGAAAATGCATTCTACTCAACTACACGTAGGTATACATTTTTCATGACCGACCCGGGAACAATATTCTACAGATTAGTACATCCCACCATGAACAGCTTACAATTACGCATCTTCCATAATTAACTCATTATTCTGTGAGGCAAAACCTCCAATCACGCAAAATGCTCAAAAACAACAATAGTAATAACTCTAGAGACAATAGTTACTGAATTGACGCAATTTTCGAACTCGGCATGTCCAATTATTGATAATGACTTGAATTGCGGGGAGACGACACACTGGTGTTTGGCAGCCAGACCATCTCAGCAATAGTCGTCACCTCTTCAAGGGCGCTACACACGTCGAGATTTAATGATGATGATGACAATGATCATTCGAGGTCTGATAAACTGAATAATGGGTGCGAAAATGGGTAGCTGGAACGAAAAGCGAGGAAGCGAGGAAGCGAGGAAGCTGGAACGAAAAGCGAGGAGCGTCAAGGAAACTTAATGTGAACACTATCGTGATCTCTACCTACGGGTTTACCCAGGTCGTTTGCGATATCATTTGAGAAATGCACTTAAACGTTCATGGGGCAAGAACTAACGGATTTCATTTTCTGGCAATGTGAAACGTTATTCAATACGGGAATGATACATAGAAATTTGTTTATAATGATAATAGTAATACGTAGTAATATGTACACCATACATTATTTCACGGTCTTATTTTTTTACCTATTTTGTAGTACTATTTGAAATATGTGTAGGAGAACGTTAGGATTAATAATGATCTGTCGTGTCCCACTTTGGAAAAGGCGATTTGATGTTTCCGGGCAATGTTTCTGTGGGCAACTGATATGGTTCTATTAGTGCAGTGAATGTGTTAACTTGGGAGGAGGCGGTTATTTCACCCCCACAGGATGGTGAAATCCAGCGATGACCACGTCGGCTTGCGGCCCTCCTTCATGTATCTCCCCCAGCAGCTCACCACCCCCAGCTGAGACAAGTTTTAACGAAAGTTCTCCAATAATATGAATCGCAGTTAGCATTATTGAAGAAAATAATACAACTGTATGTAATAAATAGTAAAACAAATATAATTATACAACAAAACGGATGCAATTCCGCAAAGTTTATGTGTATGGTAAACTGTGTTCGGTCATAAACTAATAAAGTTCGTGAATTGGCCAAAGAAGGCTTGATCAGGCAGGTACTCACCAGAATATGAGGACTTTGAGGCGTCGGTGAGCTTGAAGGTGAAGGGGATGTGCACCTTCATCATCTTCATCTGTGGAATCTGGTGCTGCACCTGATGCACAGAGCTACCGAATATCAGCTCCTCGCCGTGCAGTCGGAACACCATCATGTTCCTGAAAGAAGGCGGAGCGTCACAACAACTGCATACATATGTCACTAATGAGAAGCGAAGAAGAAACAGAACACAACAAAAATGTGGACATTTTCTAGTCGAGTGTTGTAACAAAGTAGCTTTTAAAGCGAGCTCATGAGTATATTTCCATATTCGTACATCATCTGAAGAGAGATCAAAATCAATATGTCAATTTCTATTTTGCAAAAATGGAAGAGATGACTATGACACTAAGAAATTACATATTTTTTATAACACGATACATTACTATATCTTACATTAAGACATTGTAATAAAGCTCAATCCATAATTTTATGAAGATTCATTTTAGGTAAGAACATTAACAAAACGCCCTATATTACAAATAGAAGAATTACTAGAGATATAACTACATTAGATTTATTTATAATATTAATTGAAGGGGTCGGAAATCGAAACTGTAGTCATTTTAGTACGCTAGAGGAGAAACCTAGCTTGTAAAAAATCCAGGCATTTCTCAGTTGGAGTGAACTTACTGCTGCTTTATCTGCACTTTTTACAGTTCAATGCACACATTTCTACGCCGTTTGAATCGCGTTTAGTTTTAGGGGAATTATAAGATCTGATTAGAGTATAATGTGATATCATTATGCTTCCTCAAACCCTTCAATTGCTTTGAGTATATGAAAGTAAAGACACGATTCTATTGCATCTATATCATATGCAAGTTACAACTAACATATGTAATAATTCTTTAAACGGAAGATTTATCGTGACATGGAGAGCGACAACAAAGATTTTTAAGGTTATGTAATGCCAAACATGAGATGCACAACAGCCAAGGAGTTTCGAGGGTTCCTGAAATTAGCGAATTCTGAACAAACGTAGAGATTCTTTTCTTATGAGAATTGTCACAGTATGAGTAGAAGGGAATACTATTGAAGGGCTCTGTTGTGCTGGTATACAGTTTCTGGTTTGTTTTGAAAAATGTTAAGATACAGAGTGATGCTGTCGTAAATGAGTAACGTTGCTATACTTGCAGTTTACTAGCAAATCAGTTGCGTTCAACGTTTCGTGCCAGTTTAGTCGCGGCCTACAAGCCCCATTTTCCGCCCAAACATGTTTTTTATCTTCACTCAAGACGCGCAGTTTTACTAAATAAAGCATTCACATAATCTTCAACATCTCATGAATATTATACCACAAAATACGTAATACCTTAATAAAATGTTCTGCAAAGTCGGCAAATTTACATTTATTCACATACTTGTGTACCAACGAACCAGACCGGATTACCCAGAAAGTCTTTGTGGTTTGAAAAGAAAAAAAAAAAACCGAAACAAATGTAAACTGGCTGAATCATGAAATGCTTTCATCATAATCATAAGAATAGTTCTTGCAAGTCACCGGCTCACGAGAAGAAGCAATTAAACTCTCTAAGAGGGACAACGAAATTTGTATACGGTATTTTCATGACTACTGACAAAGGATTGCAAGAATCTGTCAAACAAGTAAGCTACGAAATCTATTCGTTAAAATCGAAATATAATCTTACGACCTAAAGACCCTTCATCGATGCGGATGTAGAAGAAGGAACTGGACACGCCACTTCATTTACTAAACCTACTGGTACCAACTACCTTGAAATTAAATAGCTTTGCGGCAGACATCACTTGTGAGCGGTGTGTCTACATAGTTTCGTTAGTAAAACGAAAGAAAAAAAATAGCGAGCGGTAAATACGACTACATTTCATGCAAGCACCGTAAACAATTCCATAAACGCTATCATTAGGTACAGAGTGCCGCCATCTCGTTACTAGGGCAGACGAGTGCGCGTAAGTATGCAGTCGTAAAACGGGGCAGTGTGCAACGGGGAACGCCAGGAGCTCCATCGCATCCTCCGAGAGCTTTTCGTTCGACGAAAACGCCTCAGCGGGTAACCCCCGCCCGCTCACGCGGCCCAAGCTGCTCCCAGTTACGACGCGTGTGTGGTCTCCCATTGGCGTAGTTACAGCTTACACCGCCCGGGCTTCGATTCTCCCGCCAGTTTACCCAGAAAGGGAAATTACTAAATTACTGTAAGGATCATATGAATGGGAATGGATGGACAAATCTCGACCCTGTATTACAGATACCCTTACATATTTAGGCACGAGGTTGCAGTTCATTTGAAATTGGGACTTTTCCCTCGTCTCTTTCCCTTCTCTCTACTGGGCGGTCCACAATTATTCACCAAAAACTAAAACGTTCAGTCACTTCACTCGCTTGAAGGTGGATCATCCGGACTGTCTAAAGGGCACTCTTATCCTTCAGGAGGCTATTTGGGTTCCAATGCCGACTGTAAAAGCATGGAAGTATTATGTAATCATAGTGATTCAAAGGTGCCGTTAATTTCCCATCAAAAGTCCCGAAAGTTTATTGATATGTTTAACAGTAAATGGTTGGGCGCTAAAGAGAATGGTGCATATTGCTTGCCACGTCAACTCCATTCTAGTTTAGCGAGCTGGTTTCCTTCCCTTCGTCAGCATTTTCGAACGAACGTCAGCACGTGTCAGTACGCCGATGCTTTGATTTGTTGGATATATATATATATATATATATATATATATATATATATATATATATATAGATATATAGATATATATATCCAACACCTCCACTGTTCTACTTGTCCATCTGCCATTCAAACATCGAAATGTTAGGCATAGTATATTTTCTCTGCCATCCCATTCGATTGTAACTATTCATTTTGGTATTTAAGAATATTTTCGCAATTCAACCAGCACGTTTTTAGTGCCACTATCTGGCAACATTGCTTCGAAAGGCGGGACCGATGCCTTCAAAATTATCGCCTCCCACAAGGGGCCCAAAGAGTTTAAGTTCTTAGAGCTGCAACAGCAGTTGCTGTGTCAGCGTTCGCGGCCACAAAGGTCAAGAACAAAAGTGCACCAACTTGGCGTTTATGAGCACCCAGCCCGTCTCTGCATGTTCTAAGTTGGTCTCCTAAGACAGAAAGCAAACATACCGAACATGCAAAGAATGTTCTCAACGATTGTGTAAACAACTCTAAGAAAAAGACATCGCGATATCAGTTTGACCCGTACACGTGCGCGGAGTTGCTTTTGTATCGCACAAAAATGTCTTTATATAATTTTAATTTACGTCAGTGAGCTGGCATTGGGCGTAACATGATGACTTAAATGTAGGTGATAATATGGTTAAGTGTTGACACCCAAAACAAATGCATATCCACTTCACAGCAAACTGGGATAATCGTATCTAAACATGCCCCATGAACCCAACTGGCAATACCGAACTTCCCAGTGTGCTTAAAAATTCACGAATAAAAGGAAAACTAAACTGGCAACACTCAACTGACGCAATGTGTAATCGATTTGTAAATAGTCAGGTTCTAATATGGGTGCATATCCAAGCAATGATTTTACTATTAGATAGGAGATAAGATGGACTGAAGATAAGGCAGGAGTTTAAGTACACGGCAATAAGGTTTATTTAACCGGAATCAACAAGGAGTATCAATGAAATAGGTTGCTTGCGAATTTACTGCTATCCGCTAGAGGATGATCAAACGATATTCAAATGCTCTGGAGTGGGCCAATTGAGACTTCATCTTTTCACACCCATCCTGATTGATTTTATGTTTTTACCTCATTTTCTATGTAATATATACTTTTAAAAACGTATTTTTAGTCAAATTTCGCAACCATGTAAGGCGAAGCGGTCGTCCACGATTCAAAGGAACACTGATCTAGTCTACAGATACAATACAAATTGACCATAACGCAACTCTCATATGTCAGTCACATGAGATTAACTGAACACTCCTTTCTTCACAATGAATAGAATTATTCCACAAGTGTCCTGACGAGGCGCAGAATATCGATATCATAATCAACTTATTTCGAACATTTTTGTCTCAACACTAACTTTGAAACGGGAAAGTTTCTTAAAGGCAATCATTATCCATTATCTCTTTAACCGGCCTTTATTGCGAAAAACTTTTGACCATTTAAAAAGTATTTCGTAGCTGCCTCATGATGTCAGAAGGTCACGGGTCGTAGCAATCGCATTTAATTTTATAGAGAAATTACTGTAAGAAACGACCAGTTTGACGGGTCGAGAAATAAATAGATGTCAATTCTTCAAACAATAAACGCCCAATGATGTACGATGACATAGCGAGAGATAGCGTCGAAGCCATTTACAAGCGAGGCAACTTTAAACTAACGCATACACGAATTGAGCGCCTGGACATCACTAGCAATTATGTTTCCATCAGTAACTGCCACACACAGACCCTTCTTACATCTCTCTACAAAAAGACACAAAACATTCATGAAAATTGAAGCACCGCAGCCTTTCAAGTTACTCCAATGTTCTAAACGCGGTAGAAATAGAAGCATTGACGGTGTGGGAGAGATTGGAAAGCAAGAGGTTAATCCGTTTGCATCGCATTTCAATATTGCTGCATTCACTGACCCGGAGCGAGTCTGTCAATGTATCGACAGGTAAACAAGCAAAAAATTTCATTAAATTAAGCATTTTAATATAAAGGGCACACAGCCCTATATTCACACACCTCCCGCTTGCTTCACACGCGCCCGTGCGCATAAATGGTCTAACATGAAGCGCTACACGCGAACAGTACACGATATGCTTCACTACTTGATTTTAAAATCTAGGTTTAACGAGCGACGAACGCTTGACACATTGTGACGCGAATTGATTAAGTCCCCAAGTTTTTCTTCATTACCTGAATCAGAGGATCAATTTTAAAACCAAGTTCATTAATTCAGCGGAAACTAAGTCAAACATCAATGAACATCTGCAGTACGTGCAGCATGGTAATTCCTTTCCTAGCAATTGCATTAGGTATTACCTCGCGTATTACCAGCATCCCAGCAAAGATCGATGTATCACATACAATCGTAAAGGATGAAACCGCACGAATCAGGCAGGAAGGGCAACTACCAGCAGGAAGAGTTTCACAACGGAGGAACA